ACAACCTACCAAGATGAGGTCAAGAGTGCTCGACACATGGCCAGGAAGAGGGGAAAGCTCTCCCTTCCTGGGGCCCTCGGAAGGGTGGTCATTAGCTCTAGACTGAACCCTGCCCTGGTTCCACCTAATAACTCTTAAAGACCTTAAACAATCAACCTTTTGCTCCATAGTTTAACTGCATCCAAGAACGAGCCTCATGACTATTTATAGGAATACAAAAATATCCAACAGTCCACAGAAAGTTCACAGGGTCTGACCTCCAATCAGAGATCACAAGGCCTGCAAAGAAGCAAGAAAACAGGACCCAAGACAGGAGAATGTGACCCACTCGGAACCAGCCCAGAATGGAAGTGGGGGCTGTGCCTGTGCAGCGGGAACCCCACCTGTCACCTTATTTTCTGTTTCCTGTTTCCAGGGCCTGGACTTTGCGGGGTTCACGGCGCACATGTTTGTTGGGATTTGCTTCGTTCTCCTGTTCTCCTTCCCTCTCCTCAGACTCCTTTTCTGGAACAGGAAGCTGTACAACAAGGAGCCCAGTGAGATTGTTGGTAAGTGTAAGCACACCTCGTGCAGACCCAGTGTGTGCCGCCATGACACTGTTTGTTCCGGGGGAAGGTCCGTCACACGCAGCCCATTGGGGAATGTGTTGGTCATGTCCCATCTGCCTCCTGGTACAGTATGCTTTCAGGGGCTTCAAGTCCACGAGCTGTGCCTCTAGTTCTTTTTTTTTTTTTAAAGTTTATTGTTAAACTTTATTTTTGAAGTTCTTTTAATTAAAGTTTTTTAAATTAAATTTTATTGTTAATTCAAGTGGTAATGGTTAGTAAAGTTTCATAGGTTTCAGGTGTACAATTCTGTAATATATCATCTATATATCATATTATGTGCTCACCACCCAGAGTCAGTTCTCCTTCTATCACCATATATTTGATCCCCTTTACTCTCATCTACCACCCCACCCCCATACCCTCTGGTAACCACTAAACTATTGTCTGTGTCTATGAGTTTTTCTTTAGTTTTTTAAAATTAAATTGATTGGGGTAGCATTGGTTAATGACATTATCTAATTTTCAGGTGTGCAACATTATAATTTGACATCTGTGTACTCTACTGTGCTCTTACCACCTGAAGTCTAGTCTCCTTCCGTCGCCATGTATGACCCCTTTACCCACTTCGACCTCCCCCCACCCCTTCCCTCTGGTCACCACCATTCTGTTTTCTGTGTCTCTGACTTTGTTTTTGTTTGTTTTGTAAGTTCCTTTGCTACTTTTTGTTTTATATTCCACATATAAGTGAAATCATGTGTTTTTTTGTCTTTTTCTGACTTATTTCAGTTAGCATAATACTCTCAAGATCCATCCATGTTGTCGCAAATGACAAGATTTCATCCTTTTTATGGCAGAGTAGTACTCAAGAGAG